GATTGGGAGAACAGAAGCATACAGCTTATTGCTCCAGTAATACTACATTCTACTAAAATATGTATTTACTAAAGTAGTGTACTGTAAATTATTTGTTTGGTGTTCTATTTCATTCACTTGTATATAAACTTCAAACCATAGAATTACACAGTGAAAAGATTAAAAGATCACTACTGTCACAAATCTTATTTTAAAAGAAGAAACCTAACTTATTTTTCAGTAGTCTGTTTGGAGTATAAAGACAGGATATTTTGTCTATTTTTAAGAACCATGTTGTATCAAGTCAAATTTTTTTGTAGTGTGTGCATCTTCATAAGCAAAATTTTTTGGAGAGTACTTTTTGTTGCTGAAGAATGAGAAACTGGAAAAACAGATCTGTGAGCAAAGGAAAAGGGAAGCAGAATTATCAGTGAGCAGGAATGTTTGCATTCCTTCTTGCAAGTTAGGCAAAAAAATGTGTTGAAAGCAGAGAGTAAATCTTTATTTAAAAATACATTGATCTAATGATGAGAAAGCTTGCTGTTGTAGAACTCATAGAGCAACTAACAGTAAAATAATGCCATTAATAATTTTTTAAAGAGGATTATGGAGTGTGGACTAAAATTGTCTCCAAGTTGTTCAAATATAGTGGACACTTAGCATGCTAGCTTTCTTCCATTCCAGAAAACAAGCTTCTTTAAAACTTTTTTTCTTCACCAGGTGCTTTGGTCTTAGGGTGGAGATTACTGTTATCAGATTCCCTATTTATGCAGTATTAATGCTGTTGCAATCAAAAAAACTATTGAATTCTCCACAGTTTTCTGGTGTCAAGTCATAATAGTGCTTAGAATTGACTTCTCAAGTACTTAGTGTTCTTTTAAAGTGTATTAAAGACAATTATATAAAGTAATTACCATTCCACTGAGGTGATGAAGCACAGTGTCAAAAAAGGGTACATGGTTTCTGGATAGGAACAAAATTTATCCTTTTAGTTTTTTTTGCAGGTCTTTTGTGCTTTTGTTGTAATATTATTATTTTTATTATTTTGAAACTAGTAGAGGAGCCATGTGTGTCAGTTTTCAGTCTGTCACAGGCTTCAGGTTCTACTAGGGTGCTGAAGAATTTGAAGAATGTGGTCTATCTATGCTTTGACTTAACCAAGTTCAAAACCTATTATTCAATCAAGCGCTGTAATAATTCTTTTGCCTATTACATTATTAAATAGCTCAGATTATTCTATCAATGTATGGAAGATTAACTCCAAACAAAACTGTGGGGCCCAGGGAAAAGGGTGCTTTCATAATGAAACTTTCTAAACCTAACATCGTAGATTGCAATTATCTCGGTAGTCCTAAAAATAAAATAGTTGTTTATAAAATAGATACCTTCTGCATTTGCAATCTTAGAATCTTTGTAAGGTGTTAAATTCCAATTGTAAAGTAAATTCCAGATTACAAAGCAGTTTTCTAGGAGGGTTCTAATAAGTGAGGGAGATAATCAGTTCCTTCAGTCTACTGACCCTCCTTCTGTTAATAAAGCCCAGGTGTTTGTTGGTCTTCTCCATTGCCATATTACAGTGCTGGCTCACATTCAGCTTGCTGCCTCTCCAGGGCCCCCAGGTTTTTTTTTGTGGAGCTGCCTGGTCATGGGCCTGAGCAACGTGCTCTGGGTTTCCCTGCTGGAGCAGAGACTGGATCAGATGACCTTCAGGTGTCCCTTGCAACCTCAAACATTCAGTGAAGTTGAGCATTAGAGCAGAGCAGTGCTATTATTCATTGAATTGATTGAAATACATCCACAACATACTTGTCAATTGAAAGCAGTGAGATGGAAGACAAGAATTAGAAAACTTGTAAAACAAGCACTCTGCAGCATTACAAATTGCAGAGTGTAACTACAGTTATTAAATTTTAGACAATATGTGTAATAAAAAGTAATTTAAAACTCTGACTTCAAGAGTGTCTAGTATTTTTATTGCAGCATACCTAAAAGTAATGTATTTGATCTGTGAATACTATGTAAATGTGAACTCCTTGTTTGTCAACAATCCTTAATACAGATAAAATTCATTTTAAATTTGCCTTACCTCTGTTAGAAAATGCTTCGTTCTTCACATTTTTAACTTATTTTCAGTCCTGGACAAGCTCTTACCCAAGAATACCAAATTGCTTAAATATGCAGGAATTAAAATATGTATTTGAATTTCTTATTCCATGTTTTTCCTTATTAAAAATTGTTAATACCTGTTATATACCGTAGGAATGTGCTTCACCTTATAAAAGTGTACTGCCATTGACTAATTATCAAAATGCTCTAATGCAGAATCCATAGAAGTGAGGACTTGGTTTCAGTCTGGTAGCCTTGAGTTAGTTCAAATACAGCACCTGTAAGCAACTTTAGTATGCACTTGTCAAATCTGGACAAGAAACAGGACCAATCAGTAATCTTTTAGGGTGTAAAAAAGCTAAATACAATAAATTACTGTTTGTAAATACAATCTTGGTTACAACAGCACCTTCAG